GCATATTAAGATTACATACATTTATTAGTAAGTAAAATTGAGATTTGAAATAAAACCGGCCTAGTGCGAATCGGACCGCGCGCTGAGGGTACAACATGCCGCGACAGGAAGAATAGTTTGTTTGTTATCGTCACAAATTTCAAAGTACATATGTTATTAATCGGAGTTTTCAGTATTTTTTGCTTAAATACAGCATAAGGGACATCATTATACTAAAATTTCACATTCTTTATACTTTCAATTTTGAGATAGGACCCGTAACAGAAATGTTCTAAAGATTACAACTTTGACGAAATAAATAAATAATAAAAATTATATAAACTCAACTACTCAACAAGCTCTACAGTCATTATCATTGTCTAGAGTCTGGACTATGATGAGTCACATAATGGGGTAAAGAGTAAAAAAAAATTGTCTCCTTTTCATGTATGGGTCTGTGTAATTTAATGAAAATTTTTAACATAAATACCAAAGTTTCAGTTCTGTTACTCATTCCGCGTAAGATCTACAGACCCGTGACATACGGAAAGACGGACAGACGACAGAGTGACAGCAATAGAGCTCCATTTTTATCTTTCGGGAACGGAACCGCAATACCAAAAAGATATTTATTAGGTAATATCCGAAAGTTAAACATGGGAACCACTGTCTCCTGGAGCGACAACTTGCGGGACGTGTGACTGGCGCATAGATGTTGCGTGCCGGAACTGTGGCCAGTACGAGCGAGCTTGGGAATAAGCCGTACCTACAGCACAAGGCCGCCCTGCCACTCTTGACTGCGTCTAATCTAGGCGGTTTTCTCACTGTTCAGGTCTTACTTAGCACAAACATGAACCAATAATATTGGTCCATGTCATAGATTTAAAGGATTAAAACCTACCTATTACTAACGAGACAAGGGTTTCGATTCTGACATGATGATTAAAATTAAATTTGACAACAGTGTCTCCTTGTCATTCTCTATACAGAATGAAAAGGGCAGACTCATGTTAAATTTAGTTTTAAGGTAAGAGAATAATGCCAGAATCGAACCCAATACTTATACTTATTATGGTTCAATATTGGATCAATTCCTTTACTTAATACAAAAGTGGTTAATGTTGGAGAAATTGTTGGCACATGTTCGCAATTTTATAGACAACACGAGGTTTCTGAAATGGTCGAGTTATGATTTATGCTTTATGAGCCCGTATAAAGTTCAAATAGGTATTCCACCTAGCAGTAGACCACAACCCAAGGGGTAATGATAGGGGTAATCTTAAAGAGAAATAAGTATTTAAAATGATCCTTAAATAAATACTTAGATATTAAATAAATGATCACATAAAAAAAAGTATTTTTTTTTAATACAAAATCCCGCATGCTCAAGAAATACTACTTATAAATAGAAAATAAAAAAGAAAAAACAAGTCCATTAGTCCAATGGCGGCGCAAGATCTAAACTGAATGTGAGCAAGATACATTTAGCGAGGCACTCCGATGGTGCAAAAATGGTTTATAAAATAAAAAACCGGCCAAGTGCAAGTCGGACTCGAAGGGTTCCGTAACAACAAGATTAAACACTTTAATATAAACGGAAAAAAACACTTGTTGTATGGGGCCCTATCATATTTATTTAATATAAATTAGTTTATTATAAATATCGCTTATTTCATTGGCATTCATTTCGTGCGCCAAAGAGGAGAATGAATTCTAATGTAAATAATGTATCAATAAGAGTGCACTTTTTCAAGTATTTTTGAGAAAGTTGATATAATTTTATTGGATTGTAAGGAAGACATGTTTCGATCCAGTATTGAATAAAATATCTGTTAATGGCATTTCACCAGAGGCATGGGGGCCCTGCCTCTAGTGAAAGGCCATTACTCCTTTCATAGTTTTTCATGACTTTTTCACAGACATATGGCTGTACTGTACCTCACCGATGATGTGTTGGAACTCGGATTTGAGCTCAATAATTGTGTCTGGTTACTTCGCATAAACCCGAGATTTCACAAACCTCGAAGAATAAAATCACACGGCGTTGAATCGCATGTTGTTGGTGACCAGATAACAGCAGAATGATGCCGCCTGTTGTAGGTGTATTTGTTTCATGACAAACATTGATTGTTTTTCTTTGGGGTTTTGTGACTTTTGAACAATTTTTGAGCTCGAATCCGAGACCCAACGTGTAATCGGTGAGATCCAGTCCATGTCTGTTAAAAGATATGGAAAATTCCATGAAAAGAGTAATGACCTGTCATCAAAGCCATGTGTCTTTGAGGGATATTTTTTATATTATAGGGGGCATACGAGCAAGCGGCTCACCTGATGGTAAATGATCACCGTCACCCATAGACATCTGCAACACCAGAAGTATTAAAAATGCGATGCCAGCCTTTAAGTAAGGAGTACGCTCATTTTTGACGATTTTCGGGTCGTGTTGTCCGGAAACACTGCTCATACTGGTGACAATAAATTGCACAGTTTTGTCGTACGTGGTAAAAAAAATCGACAAAATTACACGATTGCGGATAGCTACGCGTCAAAATGAAATTTTTGTCGCATTGTACGATGGCGAAAATTTGCAGCTGAAATTAATCCGAACAATTCCACAGAACACAGTTTTTATCCATGCGGTGACAGAGAAAGAATACCACTCACCGCCCCATCACTTCCCTGAGGTGTCGTAAGAAGCGACTGAGGGATATCAGAGCTTCCATCTGCTCTTCTGGTGGTAGGGTGCCTAACACCCACCTGTCTGTTACCACCGTAGGCATGGTGAAAAACCCGTGAAGTGCTTCTTGCGCGTTTCGGGATCAGCCAGCGTATAACCAGAGCTCGAGTGGAGATTGCCGAGACGGATTCGGTCGAGTGGTGACATCCTTCGAACCGATGCCGGGAGGACTGCATCGACCCACTGGCCAGGAAGACCCGTAGAAACGGCTGTCCCGCTGACCGCCCGTGGCACAGTACAGGGGCCCGAACGTCCTTAACCAGTTCGCGAGGCTGCCCCATGATGTCACGCATAATCTCGGGGTGAACCGTCGTGCCGGTTAGGGACCGGGGCGTCCCGGCGGCCACTCCCAGGGGGTGCGGGGGCCCTTCCGTCCGGTGGGTCGTCGTATCTCTTTCTTAGGCAGTTTCTCGGTAAAACGTGCCTCCACATAATTGCCTGACTTTGTCGTGACTAACTCCACTCGATTCACGTCTCTCAATTTTTTTCCCATGATGACAGCCAATAAAACCAAGTTTGGTTGTTACCAGTGATGCACATCCCCACGCCTTCCGCGCTGTTTGAGGTCGAGTTCTATAATATACGCGGACTCCACTATAACCTCAATGCTGTCCACCACCATCTTAAGACAGTACGGCCAGTATTATTGTTTCTCATGGAGACACAAATACTTCGCTGCTAGATACCCGCCAAGTGAAGTATAATGCGATTCAACTAACAATAGGACCAACTGGGCGCCATATTTTGACGTTGATAGCTATTCAAACCAAATAGGTAGAGTGAGCAAAAAAATTTTGCTATTCAATAAAACTTATTTACTAAGATTAAGTGAGACAAAACCTCAGATTTTTTAATAAAATTAATTTACTAAGGTTGAGAAAGAGCACAAACGATTTATAATAGTATTTCTTTATTATGGCTGCTTGAAAAAAAACATTAATCAGACAGAATCTAGCTCTTCAATTTCGCTCATCTTTGCATTACCGCCGGAGAAGTTATGAATAATGCAGGTCACATACGAACATGCATCCTATATGTAAACAAAAGTTTTAAATCGAGTTTCTAAACGCAACATAAAGTGACATTTGGTTGACGATTTAGGTTATCAATCATTCATAGCCAATACTCAATAAGTGAAAAAAAACAAGTAATATTAAAGAACAATATTTGTTATTGTTTGTTTAAAAATGTTTGTTTTTTATTCTAGAATCAGCTGAGTGTTAAAAAAGTGTTTCGAGATTTTTTTGCAAACCGTACTTTTCAAGCGACATTTTACAGATGGAGGTCATTGGTTTTCCTATTCTTATTTGAATCGCATTATTAGCGTAGGGAGCGCACGAAATCTTGGAAATTTAAAATAGGTTCAATACTTTTCGCAGGTATAACTTCGTTAATACTGCATATACTTATATGAATTGAAAACTAATATACTCGTAACATTTGTAGATACTTTGATGTTAGGTATATTTATGTGTAACATTTTGACTCTTTTGTGTTCTCCATTGTTATTTGTAATGAAGTAAATATAAATTTTATAATATAGGTAGTTCTTCGGAATAGGTAGGTTAATGAAACTTGGCTTCATATCAGTAGTACTTAGCTATGCTTTATAAATAAATAAAAAATCTAATCACTCATGAATTTTAACAGCACCTTAGTGCCGTTCTTATATTAGAAACTATCATGTGTAACTAAAAAAATAAAATAAATATGAAAAGTTTACTAGAAAAAAAAACCACGCGGACCAGGCAGCGGACGGACCAGGTTATAGTAAACTTTTCTTTAGATTTAAACATCTAGCAGTTAAATGCTTAAAATATAAATAAAATCATAAATAAATATGACTTCAAAATAAAAATATAAAAAATGGCCGTGCGTTTCTATAGTTTTTGGCGGGATTTCATCGAGTGCGGTTGGCGTCATAATTTATTTATTTTAAAATTCGTTCATAGTGGATATTGTGAAATATAATTGGTGTGATTTTGTATTACAATCGACTGCACAACTGAAGAATTAGTAGAATATTTAAAACATTACGCTATTCCGGTCAAGTGCACGTGAGAATTTTTTGTAGTTTTGACTACCTCGCAGAAGTTAATCGGAAAAGCCAACTCGATGCGTTTCGTGCCAAACACTCTAAGAAACATTAGAAAGCGTCACACCGACATTCTAATGTAAAAAAAGATGATTATTTAACTAAACGCTAGGCTGTATGGGCATTGTTTCCTTTGCCTTCCCTAAAAAGGGAGAATCTTTATAAAAAGAATAGTGTGACATTTGAATTATTTTGAATTTTGATTTTTAGAACCAAAATAACTTAAAAAATACTGAGTTAAAAATCTTTTTCTTATATTAAGTACTGTGTGGATACAGCGTAGATAAATTTCTCTCATCATTGATGATTATTCCGATGCTAAATAATCCTATACGAAGCCATTTACGGTATGGTGGTACAGGTATATTTCGGTTCGCTTTTCCATGCAAAGCACTATTTTGGGCCTTTAATCCTTGTTTATTTAATCATAAAGTATTTTATTTTAGTTTGTCTTCACTGTATAAGAACAATGACTTCAGCGCCAGGCCCTGTGGAATGTACAATTAGAAACAAACTACAGTCAACTTTAGAAGCTAGACATGTGGACGTTATAAATGAATCGTACATGCACAATGTCCCCAAGGGTGCTGAAACACACTTCAAAGTAGTCGTCGTGTCTGATAAATTTGATGGACTACCCTTAATAAAAGTAAATATCAAATTCAATTAGCTATGTGGTATATGTTTCATGATGTTACTTTAGGTATAAGTATTCTGAGAATTTACTGATAGTTTATCAACAAAACGCGGCAAGTTTGAGCCATAAAGGGCTCCAATCCAAGTCATCCCTGTTTTCAGTTGCCATATTAAACCCAACCAATGTGTTATCGTTGAATGCCATAAAGAATATTCTTTAAACTATATGTTTGATGCTCTGCCAACTCCAGAATATTGTACTAAAGATTAAAAATGACAACAATAAATTTACAATTAATACTTAGTAGATATTTGTCATTACAATCTCGTTTTGGTATTACAGGCATACTTAAAAAAAAATAAAAATAAATAAAATAGCCTTTATTTCAGAACTTTCTTAACAAAACATTGATTTAACATTTTACAATAAGTCACGCAGTTCTGTGTGCCTTTTGGCAAAGGCCTCCTCTAACCGACGCCATTCACCTCTGTCAGCTGCGACTCTTGTCCAATACGGACCCAGAGTACAACTGATTTCGTCTTCCCATCTTCTAAACTGGTGTCCTCTCCTGCGCTTTCCATCTCTAGGATACCAGACTGTCACTCGCTTGCTCCATTTGTCTATGGTACTTCTCAGCAAGTGGCCCGTCCACCTCCATTTTTGGTTGTCCACTCTAGATAGAATGTCTGTTATTTTCGTTTTAGATCTTAGATCCTCACTTCTTATTCTATCCCTTAGGCTTACTCCTGACATACTTCTCTCCATAGCCCGTTGACAATACAGGCATACTTACACCATAGTTAAAGATAGTACAAAATCATTCTCGTTACCCATAATATCCTGGTAAGTGGTAAATGCCTAACTTACTTCGACAGTGTCTGCTATTGTTGATTATTATACTATAAAGTCAGCTGTGACTTCCTATCTTAAGATAAGACTTAAGACAAGTCCATCAAGTTTAGTCTACTACTAGATTAGATATGGTTAGTGACCAAGAGGGGTCTTTGGTGAAATCATAAAAATACAATTCATAACAGATTCCACCTTCTTATTTTTAACAACAGGTTTTCGCTGCAACTCTTTACTTAGTGCCTATTTCACATGGTCGGGATGGTCTATTATCACAGTTCACCATATAAGAGTGGAGTTAAAGGCCAGAGCATACACATGGCCAAAAAAATATTTAGCAATAGGGTATTTGACAGTGTCAAAAATAAAGTGACAACTGTAAGCATCTGTGTTTAGAATGAATATTGGCAGGGGTTTTTACTATTTTTACAAAAAAAAATATTCATAATTTTACTAAAAACTAAAGAAAAAGATAATAGTTTTCTTATCTATTGCCACATATCCAAAACGCTTGGGATTGGCGGTGCCTAAAATGACGTCACACGCAAGTAAACTTCTTGTTAAAGTGACGTTACATCTTATCATTTGAAGTTTTAATAAAAGTTGTGTGACGTCACACACTAGTAAGACGCCATATGGCGTGATACTAGTGTGCGAAAACCATTTTCTGGACAATATTGTCCAGAAAATGGTTTTCGCGGTAACTTGAAAACAAACTTGAAACTTGAAAATGGAGTTTTTGATTTGGATATTTATACTGAAATAGACAACAGAATGATGAATATCTACTTTTTATAGACTCCATAAACATTAGTCAATAATGTGAGATCGTTTTCTAAAACTTTTCAAATACCCTATTGACATCCTCTTGGACCTTTAATATGTTTTCAGTTTATGCATCCAACTGCTAAATTTATAAATCTAAAGAAAATTAATCCTGTCTAATGCCTGGACTGCATGGATGTTTTCAAGAGAAAAAATGTTAAGTTATCCTCTTGGACTATGAAGCAAGTGTTAGAAGTAATGTTAAAAATACTTTGTTTCAGCGGCACAGGCTAGTGAATGATCTCTTAAAGGATGAGTTGCAGTCTGGTGTGCATGCACTGTCTATTGTAGCAAAGACTCCACAACAGTGGAATGAAAGTGATAAAGTAATTGAGAGTAGCCCTAACTGCAGAGGAGGCTTTGGCAAATGATTTTTGATCAGCTTCTACTTCTAGGATAGAACTTCACTTAAAAGTTAGGTATTACTGAAGTCAATTCTGATATGATTCTTTAAACTTAAAACTAAATTTAACATCAGTCCCTCCTTTTCATTCTGTTTAGACAAGGAGAAGGATACACTGTTGTTAAATTTTAGTTTAGGTTTAGAGAATGGTACCAGAATAGACACCACTGTCATGATAGCCTTGCAACTGCTGCCCAGTTCGAATCAGTAGCTGGATAGGCAACTTGCTTGTTTACAATTTGGTATTTACTCAAATATAATAAAATTTGTTGTTCTTGTTAATTGCTATTTTTATTTATTTATTAAAAACGCCTTTTTTTCAAGTAAACGACAATCAGATTAATTTAATTTTTATCGCCCGGATGGAGGAAGATATTGGTTCGAAATTCGAATTGTGTGTGATGCCTGTACTGTTTTTTTTAGTAAAATTTTCTTTACATTATTCATAATCATAATTGAGTCGTCTAGTTTCAAAACCCCCTAAAACCATTTTCTCCTCAAATCAACCTTATATTATTAATAGAAAGAGTTTTATTAGTACTTTAAATTTGGTTATTCGGTTAGTGTTAGATCCCTCTAAAACGCTTAAAAAATTGGTCACAAAGTCAACGATTGGGATCAAAAGCCACTAAAACATTGCTCGTGGCTTTCAAAAGCCCCTATAAACTGACTAACCAATAGTAGCGCGGCATTTTTGTCACGTGACTTTGTCTTAACTATGCAAACAAGATTGCGATTTCTGTTGTGCGGTGTAGATCTGTGTTTGGTAATTTATTGATTTAATGCGTAAAAATGGAGGACTTAATGAAATTTGTGAGAAAATGTGATCCAAAAAAGACAAGGAAACGACCTGTGAATAAAGCAACCTGGAAACGTGAGATTCTACCTGAAAAACGGTACGTGATTCATCCTTAATAATCAGCATCGACATTGGTAGGAATGGTGTTATGCAGTAGGTACCTACGGAACATAAAACTGCATCTGTTCTATATTAATATTGTTGTTATTGTTACTTTTATATATCTTTTGTAGGTGTGTTTATTTGTTTACATCATTTGGAGTGTAATAATTGTATTTATTTTGAAATGTGGTAAACTAGTAACACAAAAGCCATAACCAGAAAAATTACTGACCTATGTTACATATTCCTTCTGATTACTTCATTAACTTTTATAAATGTTGATTGTTTTTAGTTCAAAATCTTTTTTTTTTTGGTTTTTATTTATTTATTTAAACTTTATTGCACGATAAAATTTGCACTAAAAGTGGACTTAACGCCATGAGGCATTCTCTATCTATATATATACACCGTGCATTTTAAACCGTCTTACAAACGAAACCCACTTTATTTACCCGTCATGTTGAACAACATTTCCCAATAAACATAGGTCGAAATATGAAAAAAAAATTGAGCCTTCCATACTAAATTGTCGATCAGTTTAATGATTGTATGGGGGAGGCAATTTTTTTTTTCATATTTCGACCTATGTTTATTAGGAAAATTTGGTCAAAATGACGGGTAAATAAAGTGGGTTTCGTTTTTAAGACGGTTTAAAATGCACCGTGTATACTTAACGCAGTATTAATTCTTTAAATCTGTATATTACTATCATATTTTATTAGAAATGTTTATTTCAAAACTTTTTATTTCAAAATGTTATTTCGGTTTTAGGTACAAACCCTCAAGCTTGCCGCAGTTTCCGAAATGCGGACACAAGCAAAAGGCGTTTCGATGTAGTGAATTATCATGTCAAGATATAAGAAAATTTCACAAAAAATTCTATAAGTGTGCTACGAAAGTGAAGCAAGACTGTTTTATATTGAAATATTGTAATATATCAGAAGCAAAGTCATTAAATGCCAACAGTAAAAGAAAAGTTGCTATTAAGTATACCATACTTAGTAAAAATGGGACCAAAATACCGGTATGTCAAAAAACTTTCATGGCAGCACTAGTAATAAAAAAAGATCGAATACAGGGAGTAATGAACAGATTTTTAAGTAGTGGAGGTGAAATGCCAGAAGAGAAGCGTGGAGGTGACAGGAAGAGAGAAAAATACGAAGCCAAAAGATTATCCGTCGAATGGTTCATCGAATCCTTTCAGGGACAAGAGAGTCACTATTGTCGTTCGAAAAGTATCAATAGAATATATCTTGATTCAGGCTTGACAATACGTAAAATGTGGCGTATGTATAACGCTGCCCGTGACGAGGATTTGAGAGTTAAACAAAGTTTTTTCAGACATGTTTTTAATACTAAGTATAATATAAGCTTTGGGAATCCTAGGACAGACGTGTGTTCAACGTGCATTGAACTATTAGAACGCATAAAAAAGGAGAAGGACGCTTCAAAAAAAAACGCACTTATGGTCGAAAAAAGACTTCATCGCCTTAAATACAAAGCCTTCTATGCAATATTGCAAGAAGAAAACGAAATCCTTCAAACCATATCCTTCGATTGCCAAAAAAAACAGGCAATGCCCAAAGTACCGGATCAATCTGCCTACTACAGTCGCCAAATCAACTTTTACCACTTTGCCATTGTTGTGGGAAATTCAAAGGCTAAACTCGACAAAAATAACATTCATTCCTACTATTGGGATGAAACTTCACACTGCAAAGGTAGTAACGAGATAATTAGCGCAGTTTACGATTTATTAAAAAACTTTGAATTTGGAGAAAACATAAAAGTTCTACGAATAGTGTCTGATGGTTGTGCAGGACAAAACAAAAATACAGGTATGATAGCGATGCTCGGTAAATGGCTGTACACAGAAGCCCCAAAAAATATCAAAAAAATAGAGCTGATTTTCCCTGTTGTGGGTCACTCCTTTATACCTCCAGATAGGCTGTTTGCCAAAATTGAGAAAACGTTGAAAACTAAAGAAGTGATAACCTCTCCATCCGAGTATGCAGCTTTTTTAAAACAAAATGGTATGTGCAAAGACCTAGCATCAATTCCTGTATTTGATTGGAAGAAAAGTTACGAATCCATCATTAAACCTACTACGTCTTGGCATTTTCAGTTTATGAAAACAAAAAGGTTTTGGAGGAGGAAAAAGGATGAACAGACGTACAGAAACGAAATATGCGAAAAAAAGATTATCACAAAAAAAAATAAAAAAATCACTATGATATCTCCTCAAATAATCCAGCCAAATCGTGTTTACATAAAACAAGCAAAAGTTCAAGACGTTGACAGACTTCTTAAAAAACACTATGGAAATGAGTGGAGAAAGATTTGGAAGAATTGATTTTTTTTAAAACTATAATAGAGAGAATAAATACGACTGAAACGGGATATTTTCTGAGATTGTCGGAAGAGACTGATTTGTGTGAAGCAGGATTTACTGATAATATTTGTCATGTTTAAATTCTTTCATTTTTTTTTGTATTTCTAATAAGTAGGTACACTGTTAATTAAAATATAAGAACACAATAACACCTTTTATTTCATGCCTATAACAGATTTATCGTGTTTAAAAGAAACTACTTGATTCTGGATTTTTATGAAAGCTACATTTATCTACTATCTTGCAGGTTGTTGATATCTTGTATAGCACCATCCTTTAATAAGATTTTGTTAGTTGCAAAACCCACTAAAAAGTAACATGTTACTATCAAATTCCTCTTAATTCAGGAATGAGTTTCATAATCCACTAAAATAAAAGAAAAAATCGCAATATTTTTGTTTATTTAACTAATTTGTTGCTGAAAAGGGAATTTAAAGTGTTGCCATATTATGAGGGTTCATATTATACAAAAAAGATTATTGTCTATAACATCAATCGACGACGAGAAGTTTTTAGTAGTTAATGGAAAATAATCAAAACTTATTTTAGTGGCTTTTGAAACTAGACGACTCAATTATGCTTGTCTTGTTTTTTTTTAAACCAAACCCTTATTGAGTGTTGGTAACAACGATATTAAATACCCTAAGTACACCAAAACGAACAAAATCGTGCCCGAAACCTGTCCAAAAGGTACATTGGACGATACACGGCGCGCCGTAAGATGATCGCATAGTGAAAAACAATATAACGCATTATTTAAACATTGAAAGTCACCTTTACTGCATGCTATATAAGGTCTTAATCAAATACTTCTGACATTTTGAGATGCATAAAATTTTACGACTTATTGCTATATGCGGAAGAATATAGACCTTATTTCTTTGACTTTACGCGCAATTCTGAATGTGCTGTTAGCAATGTAGCAGGTGCGGACCGCGAGGAAAAGAGACGGCTATACCACGACGTATAAACGACCATGCATTTAAATATCAGAAATATTTTATATTAAATCAGATAAAGTAAGTAATAGAACAAAATTTGCTTCAAATACGGTAAATTAACAAACATTGATTAGATACCGGTCGAAAAAACGTCAGTTTTCATACTATAAGTATTTTTTTCGCATTATTTCATGGAGCGCTGCGGCGGCAACTTGCATTTTCAACGGTCCGCGCGAGACTGTGAACCAAGAAGTGCTTGAGTGGTGTTCAAGCACTTCTTGATTGGGACACATTTTGAGCGCACGTGGTGTATCTAGGGTATTTAATATCGTTGGTTGGTAATGTAATCGTGGCGTCACTAAGCGCGTTCTATCGTCTGTACCACGGCGAGTGTTCTGAGGAGTTATTCTCTCTTATCCCACCTTCTCCTTTCCTTCAGAGGACCACGCGCGCTGGCCTACGTTGTCACCGTCTTACTGTGGCCACAATTCCAACGCGTACAAAGAAATTTGGTGACTCATTTCTTTGTCGCACTATCCGTAAATGGAATGCTCTGCCCGCTCACGTGTTCCCTCCCTCTTACAACCTGGGATCCTTTAAAAGAGGCGTGAAGAAGCAACATGCAGGCCGGCAGGGTGAAGATGGCTGGTGTGGCAGGTAAAACTGCTGTATCAGCTATCGTCACGTCTGGACTTCACCTTCACTTAACATCAGGTGGGGTGGAGTCATTTGTCGGACCTATCTATAAAAAAAAATGTATAAAACCATGGACAAGATACATTGATTAACCCTTAGGCACTTTACAGACGACGGGGCGGGGCAGGCCGGTCAATTTCGCCGTGAATAATAGCACAAAGTGAATCCTATACTTCAAACGCACACGGAGGGCAAAAAAGGGCCGAAAAGCCTTGGGTGCCCGGCGGTCAGTGGCGGCGCGGCATGTCCGCGGCTGCCCGCCGTGGATCATACAAACCAGTTTATCGGCTAGCTCAGTCCGCGCCACGCACTTTTTAGTGATGGACTATTCACTAGAACGAACGTCCTAAACTGACCGCCTCTGCCCGTCGTGTGCTTTGTGTATGCGGCGCGGGCAGCCGCAGACATCGACGGGCAGACGCGGTCTTTATTGCTTCGCGGACAAAATGCCCGCCCCGCCCCGTCGTCTGCTCAACGCCTTATGCGTAATAGGGGTGATGACGGGGTACAGTAAACGAAATTCTATTTAGTCCGTCAGTTAGATGATCAAAAAATAATGGACACGTATTTTTCCTTTGGGCAATCAACCAAAAAATGACAGAGTTATAGCGGATCAAAGTTTGGCAGTAGGGGCTCGTGACGTCACTTTTGAGTGAATTTTCACTTTTAAGTGTACTCAAACGTGACGTCATGCGACTTTTCAAATCAATATATCTCTGCAATGTTTATATTATGTGAAAAAAGAAAAAATACGTGTCCAATACTTTTTGATAATCTACCTGATAAACGAAGAAAAAAAAATAGTCATCATCCGTATTGCAGATACAGTGTACAAATAACACTGCAAGAGGGGGTTATTTTACTGCTTCTACAATAGCACTATCGTTTTCGACGGACCACAAAATGAGATGTTTCTTTGCTCATTTTTATAGTAATTGTATTTCCGAAGCATTAAAATAGCCCTGTTGCAAACTGTGTATGTTGAACGCTATTGTTGTTCTTGTTCCCGTAGCATGAGCGCCTTAATTTACGTTAAATCACGTTTTTTGTCGCCTTCAACTGTCAAATTCGATAGTAATTTGACAATTAATCGTGATTCATTTTGACAATGAAACTAGTTGTTCGCCGTGCTCATGCTAGGGGGGCTGGATGCTCATAATCATGTTAAACTGACATTCATGAGGTTTGACTTTTTATGATCGTCTATCAGGTATAGTATTCATAAAATATTGGACGTCTTTTTTTCTATTCACAATACCAAATATTAGACACTGATTTGAAACGTCGCATGACGTCACATCTTGGTACAATTTTTACTTAGAAGTGACGTCACAACGCACTAATAAACCGACGCGCTTTATCCTTGTCATTTTCTGGTTGATTGACAAAATAAAATAGGCGCGTTTGTCACTTTGATGTGTACCGGTATCCCATCCTATCGTGTTGCTTTGAATATTTATCACTATAATTTTTATTTTTTAAGCATGCATGCATAACTGCTTAACGTTTAAATCTAAAGAAAATATAACTAGAATTATTTATCACTCTCTTGAACCTAAAAATTTAATATTTTTTTTATCATATTATGCCCATTGCTGGGTCACACGCCTTCCCTATAGATGGAATAGGGAGTGCGGCCCGTGACCCACCACGCGGGCCCAGTGCGGATTGGTGGTTATTAACGACTGCAAACGCAGCCGGGACCAACGGCTTAGCGTGCTTCCCAAGCAGGAAGAGGTCGAGATAATAAGCTTTTGGTCACCCATCCAATGATCGACCATCCCAGAAGTTGTTTAACTTCTACGATCGCAGGCCGAACGCGCTGACCACCTGTGCCATCGAGCAGCTAGAATTATTTAAAGAAAATGTTACTAGAAAAAACTCCACATGGTCCATTTTTCCAGTAATATTTTCTTTAGATTTAAACATCGAGCTTAAAAAAATATAGAATTATTTATATATCATCTAACAAAAACTATGTCACACAAAATAACCAACAAGATAAATAATAAACCAAATCCACTGTAAATTGTAAACTTTTAATATAATAAACCTTACACAATGTTCACGTAATCATCTCATCACTCACTTCCTTACACCTAATAATACAGCTATCACATAATTCACATAATGTTTCACATAATTCACACCGCAGAACGGTGTTAGTTGTATCAGAGATTAAAATTGTCCAGTCTCAGTTTGCCCTCGTTCTCGGTTAAGTATAATAAATCAGCCATGGTTTGCTCACAGATAGCTTCCTCCGCTTTTTCTGACATCTGCAACAATAATAATAATAAATAATAAATATTTCCAACACTCACACCAATTAGCCTAGTCCCAAAGTACTTTGGGACTAGGCTAATTATGTAAGGCTTGTGTTATGGGATACTAGGGTAACGGATACAATACATATACTGATACATATATAAGTATATTTATATAGAAATACATATCAAACATCCATGACTGGAGTACAAATGCTCGTATTCATCACACAAACATCTACCCCCACCGGGATTCGAACCCGGGACCTCACGAGTCGGCGACACCATGAAACCCGGCGTACAAACCACTCGACCACGGAGGTCCTCGTCACAATAATAATAATTTATTTAATCTATACATACATATAATAAAGTGGTAGGAAAGTCAAAACAGTACATTGAATATTTTTTTTAAAGAATACTTGGGGTGTGATCTACAATCGATACCGAAACCAAAAATATAGTTTTTAGAATTTTTGTCTCTATGTATGTCCGGGATAAACTCAAAAAGTACTGCATGGATTTACTTCAAATTTGGCACGAATATTATTAAGAAGTCGGGTCAACTATATTTAATCTATACATACATATAATAAAGTGGTAGGAAAGTCAAAACAGTACATTGAATATTTTTTTAAAGAATACTTGGGGTGTGATCTACAATCGATAGCGAAACCAAAAATATAGATTTTAGAATTTTTGTCTCTATGTATGTCCGGGATAAACTCAAAAAGTACTGCATGGATTTACTTCAAATTTGGCACGAATATTATTAAGAAGTCGGGTCAACTATATTTAATCTATACATACATATAATAAAGTGGTAGGAAAGTCAAAACAGTACATTGAATATTTTTTTAAAGAATACTTGGGGTGTGATCTACAATCGATAGCGAAACCAAAAATATAGATTTTAGAATTTTTGTCTCTATGTATGTCCGGGATAAACTTAAAAAGTACTGCATGGATTTACTTCAAATTTGGCGCGAATATTATTAAGAAGTCGGGTCAACATATAGGCTACATATTATCACGAAACCCCACCCCTAAGGGGGTAATACGGGGGTTGGCAGTTTGTATGAAAGTCCTATGTTTTCGAAGTAAGAGACTTGAAATTTAACATGTATGCTCTATAGATGGTGTAGAGGTGTACTAATAATGTAACTTTAGAAATAAACCCCCTTTTTGGGGTCAGAAAGTATGTGTAAATAACTAACTGCACGCGTATGAAGTCACGGGCGGCCGCTTGTGATAAATAAACGCGTTTTTATTAGACTTGCAACGAATATTCGGTTACTATTCGGTATTCGGCCTATTCGGCTGCTTTTATTATATTCGGCCGAATACCGAATACTTAAATAATATATTTTGTCATAGAGAAATAATTGGTAAAATTAAAAATTAAAATCGATTCATTACGTATATATCCATATTTTCATTTCTGTTTTATAATCATTTAAGTAGTCATTGGTACATAACACAGGTACATAATCATCTTCTGAATTGAAAAAATGGAGGAGTCTATGTATTTGAATTATTGTGGTAATCAAAATTTAGAAGGGTAAGGTTCTCATTTCTTTTATAATCATTTATTAAGTAGTCATTGGTACATAAAACAGGTAGTATAATTTAATCATTTTCTGTATTAAACAAGTTAACAGTTTTTAATTCATTCAGTCATGTGATGAATGGTTACATAATATCAATAATTTAAAGGACATTGCTCGTTCCCCATACATTGAATGCCCTAGAACGCCCAGCAATGAGAAAATGCTAGTTGTGTTCGGAATCATTCATAAACTCTAATTAGGCATTTGTTGAGATACGGACAACTTGAGGAACCGTGGCCTACTACAGAATGTATTTGAATTTGAGGTTATAATTATTATACTTAATCGTAAAAGATGTACACTTTATATATTCTGAATAGATTTAGTGTTTACCTCTATGTAAGCACTTAAATAATATGCATTAAATGAACATAAAATGCAATTAATAATAAAAATAATATATGCTTATATTCATATTGATTAATGAGTGTTATCAGTTGGCACCTACGATACCTATACCTTACCTGTAGTAATAATAGATTTCTTTTCAAATGAAATGTTCAGTCTTTCCATTTACCTGTTTCTATACTTTACTATCGGTAATTAGGTATGTACCTGATTATCATTATGATTTTCATAAAAATAAACAGATATTACATGGGATGGGAGTATAAACTATCTTTACATAATTTCAGAAATAATCTTTTTATAAATATAATACTAGTAATAAGTATTATTAACTAAGGTTTCTCTATTTTTCTTTTGATAAATACCTATGGTCGCCTCTAATGCATTTATTAAAGTAAACAATCTTGGCACAACTTTTTAACAGAATCACCCATTTAATAATAAAATATTAACGAAGCCAATAAACTATTAAAATAAATCGTTATTATAGACTGAAACCTTTTGAATCCAGTTATCAGTTGATTTTTAATGCTGTTTTTTCAATAAAAAGGAGTGCCAAGTTGGATGAATAGACTGTAGTATCTAGTAACAGAACTTTATTTTTTTATTTTTTTAAACAGATTGTCCGTTTACTATGATTAATTGCTAATATGTTAAAAAAATAATAGAAAGATAATAGTGAAGGACATTCTTTTGGGCATGCTAGGGCCGATTTCGTCGATGTCCTTTACGCGCCGTTTTTGGCCATATCTAAAAAGTTAGTTTTGTCATTTAGCCGCATTTTAGCTTGAGGACGGCAGATTAGAACAAAACAAAGGAGCGCGAAACAATCACGTCTGTATAAGTTTTTGGCGCTAAAATCCAGCCGAATACTTTTGCCTAATATTCGGCTATTCGGTCAGGGGCCTCGCCGAATATTCGGTATACTGCCGAATATACTATTCGTTGCAAGTCTAGTTCTTATCATGACAGTTAAACGCGATAAAAAAAGTGATATAATGTAAATTGTGGTCTCTACGGTAACTCATTGCTACGGGGACTGGTATAACTTTACTCGACGTTTTGGTATAAACTAATTTGTGATTTGTACAAGAAAACAACTTCAAATCGGCAAAATAGGGTATTTGACAAGTTTAAGAAAACAATGTCACGTCGTTATTTACAAATGTTTATGGAGTCCGTAAAATGTGGATATTTTTAATTCTGTTGTGTATTTCAGTAAAATAACAAAATCAAAAACTCAATTTTCAAGTTGCCGCGAAATCTTTTCTCTGGACGATATGGCGTCTTACTAGTGTGTGACGTCACACGACTGTTATTAAAACGTCAAACGATACAATGTAATGTCACTTTAACCGGAAGTTTACTTGCGTGTGACGTCATTTTAGGCTCCACGAATCCCAAGCGTTTTTGGTCACCAGACAATAGAAAAGAAAACTATTATCTTTTTCGTTGGTTTTTAGTAAAATTATGTTTTTTTTTTTGTAAAAATAGTTAAAACCCCTGCCATTATTCATTCTTAACACAGATGCTAAAAATTGGCACTTTATTTTTAATACTGTCAAATACCCTATTGTACAAGAAGACAACATCAAATTGGTAAAATTACCAATAATTTCAGCCATAGAAACCAAACTCACCGGTCTATAATTGTATTCGCTGGACGGTGCATACTTGAAGTTGGGTCCAAAGTTGACACTGACAGTGACATTCTTGTGAAGGGACACGGAGGGGTAGTAACAACCTTGGAATATATCGATGAAGGCTTCTCCTTGGCACTCGCCGTTCTTGAAGTAGTAGATTTTGCTGCCGGGCAAAGGTTTCAATGTGTTGAGAGATTCCTGAATGTTGTCCTTGTCCTCGTAGTAAAGGTGGCTCTTGAATTTCACCAAGGGCTGGGGAAATGAGAGAAATAGGTTTGTGGTAATTCATAATCATAACACACATCTATCTACCTATGAGGAGCTCGATGGCGCAAATGATTAGCGCGTTCGGCTGCGATCGTTGAAGTTAAGCAACTTTCGCAGTGGTCGGTCATTGGATGGGTGACCAAAAATTTACTATCTCGAGTTCCTCCGTGCTTCGGAAGGCAAGTTAAGCCGTTGGTCCCGGCTGCATCTGCAGTCGTTAGCACCCGCCAATCCGTACTGGGCCCGCGTGGTGGGTCATGGCCCAATCTCCCTATTCCATCCATAGGGAAGGCCTGTGCCCCAGCAGTGGGGACATTAATAGGCTGATGATGATGATGATGAACTACCTATAAATTGGTATATTTTTATTTATTTATTTAAACTTCATTGCCAAACATTAGCGTAAGCAAAGGACGGACTTAATGCCAAAAGCACTCTCTACCAGTCAAGAGTATGAGCGTTGGAGACAAATAGTATGGCGATAGGGTAAAGTTGCTAAAAATTAAATAAAATGAAAATTAATATAACAGCACATGTACATATATAAATTACTCATATAACCATGCATAAATATATATATATATATATATATATGTCATATTCCAGACAATATCTTATTTCTCTATTTGTTTATCTTCAACAAGAGTCTACAGTGATTTTCGTGGATTTAATACATCATCATCATCATCAGCCTATTAATGTCCCTACAGCTGGGGCATAGGTATTCCCTATGGATGGACTAGGGAGGTTGGGCCATGACCCACCACGCGGGCCCAGTGCGGATTGGTGGGTGCTAACGACTGCAGATGCAGCCGGGACCAACGGCTTAACGTGCCTTCCGAAGCACGGAGGAGCTCGAGATAGTACATTTTCGGTCACCCATCCAATGACCGGCCGCTGCGAAAGTTGCTCAACTTCAACGATCGCAGCCGAACGCGCTAACCACTTGCGCAATCAAGCTCCTAATACCATCTTTGCAAGCAAATAAAGACATTATTATTATTAGATACTAACGGCGTTGCTACATATAAAGATATTACATTTATTATTACAATAGTATAAAATTCATTTAATTCGCATTACAAATGACAGAAAAAGAAAAACACTAAATACATATGAGGCCATGAGAACCATAGTGGCCTAACTCGTTTTTTTACAATATTGAGTTAATGATTTTTTCCAGTTCAAATTGATCATTTTGTTAGAACCAGAGTGGTCTAAAAGTGATACAACGAATATTCACTAGATAGCAGCATAATCACTGTTACAGTTTTTAGTCTGTGATCTAAAGGAGACCCGGCACTTTTCATAGAAAAAATGCTAAACTTGTATACAGTTGAATTTGGTCTCAAAATAAAGCCAAAATTATTTGCAACATAAACTACTTCTGCGTTATTTTTAGTAAATCGTGGAAAGAAGTTATATAATGATTAATATTTTTTGATATGGAAACCCTAAATCTTCAAGGGACAGAATTTTACTTCAAAATATTACTCAAGTGACTGTAAAAACCATGATTCTTTCTTCCTTTTTTCTAAATAAAAAACCAAACGTCAATTAGACAATCCTAAAATACAAACAAAAAATCATCGCATTTCGTATCCACTCCCGCGTACTGTGAATGTTCTCTGCACGTTCTCTGCTGTGATTGCCTTTTTATCCGTTATTTCTCTTGACGACCCGGCTACATATAGAGGTTATTTTGACAAACCTACGTATTTGACATTGACAGCTAGCTGCTGATGACAAATATTGCCAGACTACGATACCCAATTATGAAACACAGATAAAAAAATTAAAAAAGTATACAACTTTGGCACATAATGCCAGGTGTCCTTTGAGGTGCCGTACTGGCCTAAGTAAGATGGGCCACAACGGTTAAAAAATGGGTTAGGCCACTATGGTTCTCATGGCCTCATATATAAAAAAGCCTAATAAGCCAGCACTTGACTTTTTTATTCGTGTTTTTACTATTGAAAATTTGACATCAGTCTCTCCTTTTCATTCCTTCTAAGGCATAATAAGGAGTTAACAAGTTTACGAATAGCTAGGTGCCGGCATTAGGCTGAACGAATGCCAAATATTAATGTTTCTCAGGTATGGTTAATCATAATCAAAATCATTTATTCAGTTCAGGCTGTTACAGGTATACATGAATGTTTTTTTATTTTATTTTTTTATAGATAGATCCGACAAATGACTCCACCCCACCTGATGTTAAGTGAAGGTGAAGTCCAGACGCCAAGATAGCTGATACAGCAGTTCTACCTGCCACACCAGCCATCCTCACCCTGTCGGCCTGCATGTTGCTTCTTCACGTCTCTTTTAAAGGATCCCAGGTTGTAAGAGGGAGGGAACACGTGAGCGGGCAGAGCATTCCATTTACGGATAGTACGACAAAGAAATGAGTCACCAAATTTCTTTGTACGCGTTGGAATTGTAGCCACAGTTAGACGGAATAGTCAATTAGTTTTAGAATGTCTAGAAGCTACGCCATCGTTTCGTATAACTACGGCGGGAGACCTTATACTGAGAAGAACCGGCAAGAAACTCAGCAATGGCTGTTTTAATTTACAGAGTCGCCAAGTTGATGACTTCAGAGATGATTAATGAAATCACCTTTCATTACGTAATGTGAAAATCTCTTATCTATTAGACAAGTCCGTCCGTCCGTCTGTGGTGCTGTTTCAGCAGCCAAACCGTAAGAGATAGATAAAGAGAATATTTAAGTTATAAGTTAAGAATAGTCTGATAAGACTACATACCGGATTTGAGTAACGTAGCACTTCCGGTTTTCGAGAAATCACGAATTTCAAACGAAACCACACAAAATCTCCGAAGTTCTCAATTAATTAAATACATTTTTTTTTTTTAATCAGATTTTGGTGAACATTTGGTTCACTGGTTTGCTAGTATACATTAATTGTTCATCTGCATTTTAATTTGTGTGCCATACAGTATAAATAAAAATAGTGCTATCTTTTGGCTTGGCGAACAAAATACACACATCAAAAGTGTCTAGGGATCAAGCATTTTTATGCGGATTTCTTGAGATTGAGATGTGGCTTTGTAATAAATTTATGATTTTATAAATTTATATGGATCCTTTTTGGTGCATTTCATAATTTGAATCAGGAACTGTGAATCAAATTCGAGTAAAAGATGAAAATCAGCTGTCAATATTTTCCCTATAAAAACATACAACGCATTGAAGACATTATTAGTGCTACTGTTTCCCTACTACTGATTAAAACCAACGTTATTATGGAGCGGCGACGTCATTTAAGCAGGGAAGAAATGCTCAGAGCCGTGGGAATGATAGAAGCTGGTTCCCGGCAACGTACTGTGGCTTTAGCTCTGAATACAAGTCAGAGTGTTATCAGTCGACTTTGGACACGATACCGAAGCACTGGTACCGTGGCTGAGCGCCATGGAGGACGGTATCGCTGCACCACACGGAGACAAGACCGATACATTCAAATCTTAACTCGAAGAGCTCCAACAATAACCGCCATGATGTTAGCCGTGAGGCTTCATCACTCTTCAGGGAACTTAATTAGCGACCAAACAGTCAGAAACCGCTTGCATGAAGTGAACCTTCATTCCCGAAGACCGCTACGGGTACCACCTATAGCAATGCACAATCGTAGGATTCGATATCAATGGGCTCTTGAACACAGAAATTGGGCAGAAGAACAATGGCGTTTCGTGTGCTTTTCTGATGAGTCTCGTTTTGGTATGAGACCGGATACAAGACGTATACGACACTGGAGAACCCCTGGACGCCAACAGCGATTAAAATCCTGCCAGGAAGTCCATCCTTATAGTGGTGGAACCATCATGGTATGGGCGGGTATTTGGATCGGCGGAAGAACTGAGTTGATTTGGATCAGAGGCAACCTCAACGCTCAAATTTATGCTGAGACGATTGTATCAGACGTCATCGTTCCTCTACAAGTGCAAATCGGTCCCTTATTTCAGTTAATGCATGATAATGCACGACCGCACACCGCAAGAGTTGTAAGACAGACTCTCGCCGCAGCTAACATCAATGTCCTGCCCTGGCCTGCTCAGTCGCCAGACTTGAACCCGATTGAGCATGCATGGGATATGCTACAGAGAAGAGCTCTGCCGAATATGGAGGGTATCCAGTCGCAAGAAGACCTTTTTTTGTTGTTGCAACGAACATGGGCGGCCATTCCACAGCGTGATTTGGATGAACTCATTTTGAGTATGCCAAACCGATGTTCTTGTGTTGTTAGTGTTCGCGGTAGAAATACGGATTATTAATTGTTTAAGTTACCCAATAAAATTTTAGAGAAAACTGTTATTTCAGTCTTTTTTTCGAACTTTTGTGTTAGTGGTTCAAATGTCAAAAATCCCTTTATTAGGAAAATGGCAAATTTCTTTATTAATGCAAAGGTGACTTGGTTTATCGTTACTGTGACAAACGAAAACACTTTATTTGATGAATCCTTAAAGAAAATTTTAATTAATATCAATCAGGAGAAAAGTTATTGCAAAAATATATGTTGATCCCTAGACACTTTTGATGTGTGTACTTTGAACGGTTTTCTACAGTAGTTTTTACTACGCCCCGCCTTCGCGTCGGACGCGCCAATCCGGGCCGCCGCACAAAAGTAAGACAGAGAGCATTTCATTGATTGAACAATGAATTGAATTGCATTTGTTTTAGTTGCAATTTGTCATACGCATCGTAGTCTACATTAGTAGTATTGTAGTCTACAAATGACAGACTCTACATATATCAGACTCTACATTTGACAGATTTTCAAAAAAAAAATAATTAAAGAATATTATGATGGGATCAGAAATATAACTACTATGTAATCACTGTATTTGTTTATAAGCATAATTTGTTTTAATACTAGTATCAAATGTTTGTATAATGGATTATTGGTAGTAAAGACAGGATTGGAGCCAATTCGCCTTTCTTCAGTCTTATTTACTTTTATTTCTTTGGTTTTCTGCCACACATCTCTAATCACTACATAGTATAAAACAAAGTCGCTTTCTCTGTCCCTATGTCCCTTTGTATGCTTAAATCTTTGAAACTACGCAACGGATTTTGATGCGGTTTTTTTTAATAGATAGAGTGATTCAAGAGGAAGGTTTATTTGTATAATACATGCCTAATATAGTAGAGAAACACTGAAAATTTTAGAGGTTTTTAATATAAGGTCGTAAATAAACACATTTTTTTTGTGCTTACATTGCAAACGCTGGCTGAACCCAACGAGATAGATCAAAATAATGTACTACAGTATTGTACACCTTAAAAAGGTCTACAAAAAAGTCCGCGATCGTATATGCCTATCTCTTTGGTATAACCCACAATAACCATTTTTTAATTACTTATTACGAGAAAATAATGGCTTATTTACGAACAAGCGATTTCGCCGGTTCGGGCAGTACTGGCCGGGGGGCCGGCGGCGGCGCGTGTCTTTAGTAATTAGGTATTTAAGAAAGTCATTGTGTTTAATAGAAACCTGAGAACAAAAATATCTAAACTACAGCTCTACACCGAAGCGAAGCGAGAGCGGGCCACTAGTAAAATACAAACATTTTATACCAGTATTAAAAACAAATTACGCCTATCAATAAATACAGTGATTACTATAATAGTAGTATTATTTCTGATTCCATAATATTATCCCGTAATGTCACTTTTTTCAAAATCTGTCAAATGTAGAATGTCATATGTAGAATATAATGTTAAAAGTAGAATCTGTCAAAAGTCGACTAACAATTGTGACAACGTACCCTGTCCTTGTAAGTGTTGGGCATACAGTATATTTGGTGTTGTTACTGGATGGCAGCACTATGAGGAAATGTCTGTATGTTACGTAGATCATGAATATGAAGCATTGTGAAATCAGAAATCAATATATCTTTATTCAAATTGGATGTATAATACAACTCTAGTGAATCGTTCAATTTTTTTTCCCTACCACTCGTTATGGGCATATTTTTTAGCTGCGGAGAAAAACGAGCGAAAAAATACTCCACAACATTAAAAGTCTAATGTAACAACATTTACAAAGCATTATGTTGTTACAACGTCAATACAATTATGATTTATTTAATATAGAAAACCTGTTGGAATGATTGGAACAGTTCAAACTCAAGCATTTTTGTCTGTAATATAATCAGACACCTTGTAATAAGCTTTTTGAACAAGTGCTTTTTTATACTATCTTTAAATTTATTTATGGTTAACTTTTGAATATTGCTTGGGACTTTATTGTATAAGCGAACACAAAGACCTTTAAATGAATTATTAATTTTGTGAAGTCTAGTAACAGGTAAAGTTAGTTTATTTTTGTGACAACGTACCCTGTCCTTGTAAGTGTTGGGCGTATACTTGGTGTTGGTACTAGATGGCAGCACTATGAGGAAATGTCTGTATGTTACGTAGATCATGAATATGAAGCATTGTGACAACATACCCTGTCCTTATAAGTGTTGGGCGTATACTTGGTGTTGGTACTGGATGGCAGCACTATGAGGAAATGTCTGTATGTTACGTAGATCATGAATATGAAGCATTGTGACAACATACCCTGTCCTTATAAGTGTTGGGCGTATACTTGGTGTTGGTACTAGATGGCAGCACTATGAGGAAATGTCTGTGTGTTACGTAGATCATGAATATGAAGCATTGTGACAACGTACCCTGTCCTTGTAAGTGTTGGGCGTACTTATGTCTGTGTGTTACGTAGATCATGAATATGAAGCATTGTGACAACGTACCCTGTCCTTGTAAGTGTTGGGCGTATACTTGGTGTTGGTACTAGATGGCAGCACTATGAGGAAGCCCAGCGTGTCGCCTTCCCCATACCCAGAGCTGTAGTGCTTGCCCCGAGACTCGTGGAACCTGAGCAAATACTTGTGTTTACTTAAGTTGATAAGAAAGGAGGGAGTTATATAAGTTTAATTTAGTTATTTGGTACACATAACATGGTCAGGTAATATATTTATTTATTATATAATTTATAATAAAAGCAAATACGGGTGTATAATGCGATTCAACTAAGAGTAGGACCGACTGGGTGCCATATTGTGACGTCATAGCTGTCAATTCAAACCAAAAAGGTAGAGTGAGCAAAAAAAGTTTTTATTTAATAAATTTACTAAGATTAAGTGAGAAAAAACATCAGATTTTTTTAATAAAATTAATTTATCGATTTTTAATAATATTTATTTATGAAGACTGTGTGAGAAAAAACATTAGGTAATCAGAATCTAGCTCTTCAATTCCGCTCATGTCTGCATTACCGCCGGAGTAGTTATGTATAATCATGCACTATTACTAGGTCAGAGACGAACATGCATCCTTTATGTAAACAAAAGTTTTAAATCGTTTTACTGAACGCAACTTAAAGTGACATTTGGTTGACGATTTAGGTTATCAACCATTCATAGCCAAAGCTCAATAAATGAAAAAAAATATCAACTAATATTAATTTTCTATATTTGTTATGGTTTGTTTACAAATATTTGGTTTTTATTCTAGAATTAGATGAGAGCTAAAAAAGGGTTCCAAGTTTTTTTTTGCAAACCGTACTTTTCAAGCGACTTTTGACAGATGGAGGTCATTGGCTTTCCTATTCTTATTTGAATCGCACTATACTCGATTCCGCTCATTTATACTTAGTGGGGCAGATTCGTACAGTATAGGGCAGGCAGCATTATATTCCCCTGTGAATGTGTTTGCTTTCCAATTACAGAGCATAATGCGACTCAGTGCCGCACAATGCCCAATTATGCTGATGCTTAATTGGAACGCGAATTAGTTTTCAAATGCACCACCAGAGTGCGCTAAGTTCAGTGTTGAAAAAAAAAGTCAATGTTTGTACCTTCATCCATACTTATATTTATTTTTTAACAGTTTGAATGAACTTTGATTATTTAAAAAAAAACTATTTAATGAAACGAAAGCTTTAATAATTTTTCAACAATAAATAATATTACAAACGATAACATATAAATAAAACATTTCGATCAATGCCAACTTGTTAATTTTCTGTCTCTAAGTTGGTACGGTTGCACGCATCACACGAAAGCATCACTTTTGAGAGTGCTCATTTGTGCGAAGCGTTGCTGTAATTGGAACCAGAGGCGGCCTTACCGATTGCGAGGCTCCGGGCGGCAGGTCTTTGCGAGGCCCTTTGTCCTTCGTGAAAAGTATGTGATGCGAAAGTAGGTCTGGTTATTTGGTTTAGGTATTTGTCATGTTTAAGGAAAAATGCTTAAATTATACAAATAAATCAAATTTGAATTTTAAAATATTTTACATTGAAAGATTCACAAAATTAACAAATACAGAGATGATAAATTTTAAAATTGATGTTTGCGGCTTTTCCTAAGACTAAAATCTTTAATTAAAGCACAATAATCTAACGAATAAGCTACGTCATTTTCGATTGAAAGAATAGCGAGGGCTGAAAGCCGATCTTGTGTCATTGAAAAAATAGTTTTTTTTTTTTATATTTTTAAAATTTGCTTGGGTTGTTGCGCGAGGCCCCTGTAGGAGCGAGGCCCCGGGCGATTGCCCTGTTCGCCACCCCCTAAGACCGCCACTGATGGAACACTCAACGTTAAGCATTATGCCGCATAATGCGCTATAATGCTGTTATTGGAAAGCAACCTGTATTACCTGGTCCCTTTCCGACTGCGCCAGGAGTATCCGAACTTGTCGTATCCGAGCGGGGCCTGCAGGTTGGCATACCGGCGCCCCCAGCCCACGCGGGTCGCGGCCCCCTCCGGCATCTCTTCAACGGAAGCCTCCCAGTACCAATTGCCTCGGGAGACACCTGTTTTATGGAAACAAACAAGGGTTGGCTTGAAAATCTGCGCAACCTTTAGGGTGAGGCCAAACGAGCGTAATTTTGTGAGTGGTGAGTCGCAGAATTTCGGCCGCAGAAATTCTGCTGCATTCGGTTTCATACAAATGGGCAGTTGGTGCCACACGACAACGCAAAATGAGTTGTCTGCCGACTCAATGCGCATAAGCTCGTCCGAATTTCGGTCGGGGTGAGGGTAGGGCAAGGAAGGGGAGTGGGGAAGCAACAGTTTGTTACAAGTTTTACGTGGTGTAATAATTCTTGAAAAACACGTGATGGCATATGATAGTACTTTTCAAACATATCTGGATTTGCACATAAACGTTCATATAAAGTATGGAACTGTCCACATATCAGCCTCTGACTATTCAGTGGGTTTACCCAGTTTCTTTTTCTGGCCTCATCTTCTGAATATGCTTCGTAAATACACAATATTTTTAATGGATCCATTGCACTCGACGACACGAACACCCCGCACTAACGCTCAGTAGTAACTGAATAAATTACGTTCGTATGGCAGCTCAACAGAAATTCAGTTGAACGTAAAATAAGTGACCGATAATAAGCGACTCACAACTCACAAAATTACGCTCGTTTGGCTTCACCCTTATAGTGTCTATATATATAAAACTCAAAGGTGACTGACTGACTGACATAGTGATCTATCAACGCACAGCCCTAACCACTGGACGGATCGGGCTGAAATTTGGCATGCAGGTAGATGTTATGACGTAGGCTAGCGGATGCCTACTAGAAAGGATTTTGATCAATTCTACCCCGAAGCAAAGAGAGGGCGGGCCACTAGTGTAGTTATAAAGTTCACGTGAATGACAAAAAAAATATTGAAAATGTACGCCAGCCTTTAATTAATGTTGCTGGTATTGGTAATTATTTCTAATAAAAAAAATCTTTAATATATTTTTTTTTTTTGCACAAAATTAGAACCACTCTCATATAAGGTTGACCCTGTGTTATGAGTCAGGCTCGTCCTTACTATATAAATATAAAATTATAATAAAAATGTAATTATTATACTATGTTACTTGAAAACTACAAACAATCAATTATGTATGAGTTTAGGTGTGTCTGTGTGTGTCACCGGCGGGCGCGTGGTACGCCCCAATGCCGGCCCTACCGGCACGTATGTCAGGGACCGCGATCCTCGGGATACGTGTCAGCGGACAGTCTCCAGTTATGAACGTGAGTTGAGGGAGGCAACAGAGAGTTATTTACTTCACTTCTTACTGGGCAGCATCTCTACCAGTGCAACCTCGATACGAAAAGAAAACTTAGATATGACTAACAAATAATTACCATGTGTAGCGCGCACCATACAATATCCCTTCTCCCCAGTCACCGCCAGCCTGTCCTCTGATATCTTGAGCTGCGGCGCGCGGTCATGCAACGCTAACAACACGATCCCGGGACAGAGGGAGCGGTACAGCCAGCCAGGGATCGGCTTGCCGCTCCATTCGTTGCTCTCATCGAATTCCTGGAAACCACTTGTTTGTGTATTTTCTTTCTATTCAACAGATTCTAAGGACAGTAGGTGATGACATAGTTTCGCGAAAGTATGAAAGATGTTCATAGTGTAAAATTAACTCTAAATACTGGCACTTGAAGACTGTTAGCCAAACAGCCAGTTTCTAAACAGTCGAGTCTAACATACAAAATATTTGTTTATCTGTCTGCTACCTCTTCACGCTTAAGCCGCTGTACGGATTTAGATGAAATTTGTTAGAGCGCGGACAGATCTGGCGACCCTTCTTGTCGACCAGTCAGGCGCTTGCCTTGTTGTCTTGAGAGGTACTAAACTAGAACTATATATCGCCTCCCTGACTCACCTGTCTGAACGGCGCGTGCGGGTCGGGCTCCACCAGTTTGTACCTATAGCCGTCCTTGTTGATTGGGTGCTCGGTGGGGAAGCCGTGGGAGGGCAGTTTGAGCGCGGACAGATCGGCCGACCTGCCCTTCTAAAACTAAACCTGAACTATATATCGTCTCCCTGATTCACCTGTCAGAACGGCGCGTATGGGTCGGGCTCCGCCAGTAGGCCGCCCTGCTCTGCCAAAACTAAACTAGAACTATATATCGTCTCCCTGACTCACCTGCCTGAACGGCGCATGCGGGTCGGGCTCCGCCAGTTTGTACCTATAGCCGTCCTTGTTGAAGGGGTGCTCTGTGGGGTAGCCGTGAGATGGCAATTTGAGCGCAGACAGGTCGGCCGTCTTGCCCTTCTAAAACTAAACTAGAACACATAATTATATATATATATATATATATCGTCTCCCTGACTCACCTGTCTGAACGGTGCATGCGGGTCGGGCTCCGCTAGTTTGTACCTATAGCCGTCCTTGTTGATTGGGTGCTCGGTGGGGAAGCCGTGGGAGGGCAGTTTGAGCGCGGACAGATCGGCCGTCCTGCCCTTCTAAAACTAAACTAGAACTATATATCGACTCCCCAACTCACCTGTCTGAACGGCGCGTGCGAGTCGGGCTCCGCCAGAATGTACCTATAGCCGTTCTTGTTGAAAGGGTGTTCGGTGGGGAAGCCGTGGGAAGGCAATTTGAGCGGGGACAGTTCGGCCGCCCTGCCCTTCTAAAACTAAACTAGAACTATATATCGCCTCGCTGACTCACCTGTCTGAACGGCGCATGCGGGTCGGGCTCGGCCAGTATGTACCTATAGCCGTTCTTGTTGAAAGGGCTTTCGGTGGGGAAGCCGTGGGAAGGCAATTTGAGCGCGGACAGTTCGGCCGCCCTGCTCTTCCAAAACTAAACTAGAACTATATATCGACTCTCTGACTCACCTGTCTGAACGGCGCATGCGGGTCGGGCTCGGCCAGTATGTACCTATAGCCGTTCTTGTTGAAAGGGCTTTCGGTGGGGAAGCCGTGGGAAGGCAATTTGAGCGCGGACAGTTCGGCCGCCCTGCTCTTCCAAAACTAAACTAGAACTATATATCGACTCTCTGACTCACCTGTCTGAACGGCGCATGCGGGTCGGGCTCGGCCAGTATGTACCTATAGCCGTCCTTGTTGAAGGGGTGCTCGGTGGGGTAGCCGTGTGAGGGCAGTTTGAGCGCGGACAGGTCGGCCGCCCTGCCCTTCTTGCCGACCGGAGCGCCCGCGTCAGTAGCGCCCCCTACAGCGGGGCGACGCTTCCCTTGCCGCCCCTTCACGTTACCCGCGAGTGGTACTACCAGACAAATTAAAAAAAGACAGTACAGACTTTGAACTAAGGAGCTCTTTAGCGCAAGGGGTGAGCGCGTTCGATCTGCGACCGGGGAAATTATGCAACTTTCGGATGGGTGAGCAATATTTTTTTATCTCGACTCCTCCGGGCTTCGGAAGGCACTTTGAGCCGTTGGTCCCGGATGGAACTACAGTCAGTAACACCCATACAATCCGCACTGCGCCCTTGTGGTGGAACATGCCTCGACAAATCTTCCTATTTCATTCATAGTAAAGGCCTGTGCCCCAGCAATAGGGGCATTAATAGGCTGATGATGATGACGACGGTTAATCGAACGGGTCACCAAATAATTATTGACTTGAATTAAGCCGTAGGTTCCAGCTAATTTTGCATATTCAACAATGATAGCACCAATCAAACTGCCTATCCTAAAGAATTTTTCATTAGAAGAAATTCTACTCGGTCAAGATGTCAGTCTAGATTCGAACCAGCGCCTTCCACTTTCCGGGCGAATGCACTAACCGCTATGCTACAGAGACCTTAATAGCCGTGTCGAATTTCTTCTAGTATTTCTTGGGCAACTAGGGTCTATTTTAGCTACTTCGTTCATACGTTTCGTTTATACAGTGCATATACTCAGCAGTGGGGACACTACTAGGCTGAACATGAAGATGATAGAGACGAAAGCAAACAATTATCTCTTATCTATTAAACAAGTCCGTCCGTCCGTCCGTGGTGCTGTTTCAGCGGCCAAACCGTAAGAGATAGATAAAGAGAATATTTAAGTTATAAGTTAAGAATAGTCTGATAAGACTACAAACCGGATTTGAGTAACGTAGCACTTCCGGTTTTCGAGAAATCACGAATTTCAAACGAAACCACACAAAATCTCCGAAGTTCTCAATTAATTAAATACATTTTTTTTTAATCAGGGGGCCAATCGCCTAACGGAAATGCTTTGGGACACGCTAACGCTTACGATTTTATATTGTTATTTCTAGCCGCCTGAGGTTTTCGAATACCTCACGCTCATTTTTTTTAACATTGTTATTACCAATGCGAAAGAAAAAGAAAGAGCGCGAGGCATTTGAATACCTCAGGCGGCTAGAAATAACAAAATAAATCGTAAGCGTTAGCGTTTTCCAAAGCATTTCCGTTAGGCGATTGGCCCCCAGGTTTTGGTGAACATTTGGTTCACTGGTTTGCTAGTTTATAGATAAGAGCAAAAGATTTCGTAACGATCATTTCAAAAGAGGTAGGACATAGTGGATCTTTCTTTCACTCAAATTGGAGCGTTTTTCTGTTGGTAAGGTACCAAAACTCCAGGAGGAAGACGATGGATTCGGACCGGCAAGGTTGCGGTACGATTACTTGATTATTTTTTAATTTGGAGTTTTTGTGTTAAGTGACAGCATTAGCTTTAATAAAACTTAAATAATAATTGAAGGAGGAGCTCGATGGCGCAAGTGGTTAGCGCGTTCGGCTGCGATCGTTGAACTTAAGCAACTTTCGCAGTGGCCGGTCATTGGATGGGTGACCAAAAATTTACTATCTCGAGCTCCTCCGTGCTTCGGAAGGCACGTTAGGCCGTTGGTGCCGGCTGCATCTGCAGTCGTTAGCACCTACCAACCCGCATTGGGTCCGCGTGGTGGGTCATGGCCCAATCTCCCTATTCCATCCATAGGGAAGGCCTGTGCCCCAGCAGTGGGGACATTAATAGGCTGATGATGATGATGATGAACAATTGAAGATTATTTCATACCAAAAAAAAAATATGTATGATTGGGATATATGTCATGAAACTACTAGTCCAAACTTTCCTCAAGCAAATAGTCAGTCAGAATCCGCAGTAAAAATAGAAAAAGAAATTATGAAATAGCTTTTTTAGAAATAACTGATACATATATTAGTTTGCTACACTATAGGTCTAATAATAAAGAATATACGAAGTCACCTGCTGAATTTCTCGTCTAGAAAATTAAGAAATAATTTACCTATTTCAAAACAGTTATTTAAACCAAAATAAGTCAAATTTAAAGAAGTAAATGAAAGTCAAAACAAACAAAGAAACATACAAAAAATGTTTTGATAGATCAGTCAAAGAATTAAATCGTCTATCTGTAGGAGATATGTTCAAAAAATATTTTCTGGTCTTTGGGTACATGAAATTGTATGTTCTTTATTACAAAATTTATTTATAACAATAAATGGCGGGCTTAATGCCATAGGCATTCTCTACCAGTCAACCAGTTTGGGTGTATGAGACGGATGTTGTATACAGAATTATTAAAATGTCTTGTACAGTAGAAATAGATTTGGAAGATGCATATTTCAATTTCACATACCATGATTATGTAATAATAGAATATTCGAAACGTATTGACGTTTCGACTAAATAAAATATGATTTTATTTATTTTTTAAGCATTTAACTGCTAGATGTTTAAATCTAAAGAAAAGTTTACTAGAAAAAAAAAATCAGCAGTTGCAGCTTAAGGCTAGGAAAATTTCGACACGGCTAATTGGGCCGTGGTAGCATAATGGTCAGTGCATTCGCCCGGATAGCGAAGGATGCGGGTTCGAGTCCCGTCCGCTGCCTGGTCCCCGTGGATTTTTTTCTAGTAAACTTTTCTTTAAATAAAATATGTTGTGTTACATAAGTTTATTAATGTATGTAAACAATACAATGAAAAGTTTGATGTAGATTGATTAGTAAAAAAAAATTTATTCTAAATTTGATTATAAATGTCTAAATTAATAGTAAATAAAAGTAAGTAAAATGTCTAAATTGATAGTAAATAGAAATTTGATTGTAAATAAATAAAACATTTTAGGTTTTATTTAATGAGTGATGTGCGTGAAAACCTAAGAAACAAATATTGATTGTAAATGTCTAAATTGATAATAAATAAACATTTCATTCTAAATTTTTATAATCAAAATGTCTAAATTCATTAGTAATTAAATATAACCATTTCAATAAAAAGCAAATCGTATAAGTCGCCATAGTTTAATTTGCTAACAAGATAATAATATTTGAAACTAGTTTTTCACGGGTTAATGCACGAAACTTTATTTATTTATTGACGTTTATATATTTATCAATAAATAAATAAAGTTTCGTGCATCAACATGTGAAAAACTAGTTTTATTTAATGAGTGATGTGTGCGTGAAAACAAATATAATAATATTTAAATAAAACTAGTTTTTACGGGTTAATGCACGAAAGTTTATTTATTTATTGACGTTTCGTAGCCTTTACAGGCTTCGTCGTCAGAATAAAACTTTTATTTTGTTAAATAATATTGTATTATAATAAAAGTTTTATTCTGACGACGAAGCCTGTAAAGGCTACGAAACGTCAATAAATAAATAAAGTTTCGTGCATTAACATGTGAAAAACTAGTTTTATTTAATGAGTGATGTGCGTGAAAACCTAAGAAACAAATATAATAATATTTGTCTTAAAAAGGGGGATGTTATGTGATTGGTATCTGTGCCTGATAGACTATGTTTGAGCTACATTCATGTAATCTGTGGAGCGGATCTCTCCCTCTCTCTATCCTCTCTCTATCTCTATATCCTCGTGCAAGTATGGATGGCTAGTTGATTACATTAATTAAATAATAATCTCAAGTGGAAGCTGATTAATAAATAAATTGTTTCAAATCGTCAATTAACAAAATTATAACAATTAGAACCAAGTTTTCCTTTACCACGCGCAAATGTAGCCATTTTCTCTATATGTACTTTAACGCAGGCATGATTCCATTTTCAACTTTCACTGCGCGGAAGTTTAGCAAAAAATTCGAACGATCCTGAATTCTCATTCACTCATCACTAGTGAACTTTCGTACCAACACCGAGCTGTAGAAAACAAAATATAACTACCTCATCTGCATTCGGCTACCGTTTCCGCAGTAGTATTGAGGTCAAACATGAACTTACGACGTAATTAATACAATATTACGTAACTGAGTCCTCGCGAACGTTCGCTATACGAATAACCTTACGAAGGTCTGCACACAAAACGGTATTTGCAAAACAAAAAAACAATCTTCACGCCTACTGACAAACTACATAGAGACGCACTGCAGTCTTTATTAAACAGCTATAATACAGGGTGTGTATAGCCTGCATAGGGAAAAACACCGAAGTGTTGTGCCCGAATACAAATAACATTATGTGCATGGTTCCTACGACACAAGAGGAAACAATTATTTATGCCAAAGACTCGCGACAGACGACCAGTCGAATACTGGAGCCCGACTGACGAACTACAACAATATCGACTCTACGCATCATTAAATAAGGACCAACTATTATCTTTTTTCACGACGGATACGCAGTGATTATTTGTGAACGCCATCAATTCGGATCTGCGCTGCCTAAGGTAACGACTGACAGTTGATTGATCCTGTATAAATCCATTTTTACAACTGACAATTTAAGGTTCTCATGAAATTTATGAATTGCGTTACAAAATGGATTTGCTTCGATGTTAATTATCGATTTTCTAAAAATAACTTTGATTGGTGTAAGCATTTGTAACGTTATGGAGAGAATGAAAGCAAGGAATGAAAATAATACCCTAACACTTACTATTCATGTCGATGGTGACTCCAATACGTTGACTCAATGTCTGACTTTTGGGTGCAAGTTACAGATAAGATAAAAAAAGACAATTTTAAACGTTAAAATACATTTACTGATAACATGTATACACCGAAAAAACGTATACACATAACTTACTATAATCCCTTTACCAAAACCCAAACAATTAGACGTAACAGTAACGACCCTATGAATTCAATAACACGCTAAGTCAATAGAGAAATAATTAAAATACTCGAGCACGTAAACATATTCAAGGCGAACGGCGTTGATAGCACTGATAACGCGGCCATAATATAAAAAAAAAAACTTCAAAAACTAATATGATAAAACAAAACAAAACAAAAATATATAAATAAGACTCACCAGCCATTAAGTTCAAGGTGATT